GCCGCTGTCGGTCTACCTGGCGCGGGGCTAACATGTCTGGCGGCCGCGGTGGCCCCCATGGGCTGGATCTCAGCGACAGGAGTAACTCAACATATCCATCGCCGTCTGCTTCGATCGTGGCATCCTCGACTCCAACAGCTGGCTGCTTGCGAGGAGCTTCGCAAAGATGCCCCCCTGCCGCCTGCGCGTCGGGCTCACCTTGACGGTGGAGCTGTGGCCCCTGTTCGGGGCCAGGTGGGCGGCACCCACGACGATGGCAAACCCGAGATCTACATCGGCCGCGGCTCCTCGAAGCTGAATCTGGAGGCGCCCACCTGGGGCAACCCGCGCCGCGTGAGCGAGGGCTGGTCGCGTCAAGAGGCGATCACCTTGCACGGGCAGTACCTGCACGAGCCCTCAGCTGCCGAGGGACCTGGCATCACTAAACGGCGCCCGCCTTCTTTGCCACGGCAGGTGTTCGCAAGCTTGCCGCGGCGACGTGCTGATCATGGCGTGGAGAGACTGATTCGGCTCGTTGTCGGCGTGGCGCGCGTGGCAGGTCCACATCGACAACCTCAACGTGCTCGAGATCACCGACTGGTGGCAGGCGAACCAGCTCCAGGAGAAGGGCGTGAGCGAGCCTGGCCCAGGTAGCGAGAGAGAGGTGCCAGAGCTTCGGGGCGCCTCGGAGCGAGAACAAGGCCGTCATCCGGGAGGTGAAGTCGCAGTCCTTGGGGGAGGCGATCGACGGGGCTCAGGGCACCATCGGACCCCCCGCCCAGTTCGCGCAGCGTTTGGTCTCTCTCACCATCGAGACGCTTCGGAGGAGGGTCGTCATGCAGAAGTGGATGCAGATCTTGGCGGGCCGCTGGGTGCGTTGTCTGCTCTTCAGGAGGGAGGCGATGATGTGCTTCACCGAGTTATGGCGATTCTTGGTCCGCATCAAGGGCCAGGCTTCTTTTCCTGCCAAGGTCCGCGAGGGGCTCATCTCGGCTCCGACGCTGCTGCCACTACTGCGCTGCGACCTACGCGTGCCCATCGGCGGTCTGGTGACGGTGTCCGACGCCAGCATGCAGAGGGGCGCCGTCTGCCGTTCCGTTCTTCTTCGGCGAGATGGAGTCGCAGCGGCAAGAGCAGCGAGCAGGAGGCTCGCGACGGACTTTCGCGACGAGGTGGTGCTAGTATCCTTTTTCGATGGGATCGGAGGGGCTCGCAGGGCCTTGGACCTCTTGGGTCTCGCCCCGGCGCTGCTCGTGTCCGCGGAGATCGATGCCGAGGCCAAGCGGGTGACCAAGTATGCGTGGCCCGAGGTGCTGGAGGTTGGCGACGCGCAGTCCTTCGGGCACGCTGAGGTGATGGCGATCAGAGACCGCGTGCCCCACATCAAGTGGATCCCCCTCATCGGCGGAAGTCCGTGCACCGACCTCGCTCGCATCAACGTGGAGCGCGTCGGGCTTCAGGGGAGGCGCTCTAAGCTGTTCTTTGAGATCACCCGCATCCGCCTGCTCCTAGAGGAAGTGCTGGCTGAGTTCTGTCGGCTCGTGACTTTGATCGAGAACGTGGCCTCGATGGATGCCGAGCCGCGCAACGTTATGAGCGAGCACCTCGGTCACCAGCCAATTCGTGTCGAGGCTGGCTGCATCACGCACTGCTATCGCGACCGCTTGTACTGGATCGACGAGAACCTGCTGTGCGAGTGGCAAGGCGACGTCTCCGTCTCCGAGGGCGTCAAGATGATCCATGTGCCTGGGGGCCCTGGCCCGGTGAGGCGCTGGCTGAGCCAGGATCTCAAGGGGGCGGGAGACGCGGATGAGCAGTTTCGGTTGCCAACATTATTGCGATGTATTCCTCGGCGCGCCCCTGGGAAGTCCCCTACTGGCTGCAACGTTGCTCTGAGGAGGAGCTTCAGAGATGGCAAGATTGCGAGTACTGCTATGTGCCATACCAGTTTAAGTAAGTTTAAGAACGAGAACTGCATCGAGGAGCCCAGTGGTGTGTTCAGACCACCCAACAGCGTGGAGAGAGAGCTGCTTCTTGATTTCTTGCCAGGGCACGCCATCACAGCTCGGGTCACCAGGGCCAGAAAGCTGGAGAAGCACGAGCTGGAGGAGACTCGCTGCCCCCTGCTGGGCAACAGCTTCCAGTGCTTGGTGGTGGCGTGGATCCTGTCGCACTGGGCGGTGAAGTTTGGGTACTTGCACGCCGTTCCCTCGGTGGTGGAGATGCGCGACTTAGGTGGCGGCGCCACGATCGAGGATGCCAGCGTCACCCTCGACGACGTCAACCACGATGAGGGCGCGCCCATCAGGCAGCGCAACCTGGAGGAGCCGGACGCGGCGCTGGACCCGAGCATCGTGATCGTGGAGGAGCTGGCGCGTCGGGCTGAGGCTCGTGGCAGCGACATCAGGCTGGACACCTTCGAGGCGATGCGGCCAGACCTGTGGCCCAGGAGGCCGATCAGCGCGGCCCGCTGGACCTGGCGCGCGACCGCCATCTGGGAGTGGAAGAGGCCCTCACACATCACGGACCTCGAGGTGCGAGCGACGCTGGGGGGGGCTCTCAGATGGAGATTTCGTTCCTCTCATCATTTACGCACACGTTTCTGTCACTTGATGGATTCCCAGGCAGGTTTAGGAGTGATCACTCATGGTCGCTCATCCTCTTATCTACTGCATACTTCAGTTCGACGCATTGGCGCCTTGATCTTGGCTGCTCTGGCTCGCCCCGTGCACGGCTACACAGAGACCGACCGCAACCCCGCCGATAATCCATCGCGGGCGGCGGCGAGGTCTGGGCGGCCGCCAGATGCCAGTGCGTAGACCTCGCCGCGTGCGAGCGGCAGCAGATCAGGCCACACGTCGACATCTCGAGCTGCTGTGGGGCGCCTCTCTCGCAATCTGGTGCAGCCGCGGACGCTCGATCTCTACCGCAATGCAGTTAGACAGTTCTCAGATTGGGTTGCGAGCCGAGGCTTGACTTGGACGGGGGCTTCAGATCACGTTGACAAGCTCGACCTCCTCGTGGCCGAGTGGATCGAGTGGCTCCGGGCCGAGGGCCGCCCGCAGGGTCTGGCGGGCCACGCTTTGTCGGCAGTTCGGCTCTTCTTGCGGAAGAAGCGGATCCTGCCAGCCTCTTGGCGACTGCTGCGAGCTTGGCAGAACCTCGAGCTGCCCCAGCGCGTCCTGCCATTGCCCGAGGTGGCCCTGCTGGCGATGGCGGCCATGGCGAGGGGCTGGGGCCGCAGTGACATCGCAGTGCTGCTCGTGCTGGGCTTCGCAGGCTTCCTGAGGACCACCGAGATGCTGACGCTGCGCCGGTGGCAGATAGCTATCGACGAGGCTCGCGCCAAGACAGTCATCATCCGCCCGATCAAAAAAAAGTGGCTTGCGGTTCCTTCGGCTGGAGTCAGTGGTGATCAATGACCGTCAGTTGTGCAGCTCGCCAGTTTCTTGCTTCGCCATCTGAGTCCGGAGGCTCTCATTCTCAACTCGAGCATCAGTGAATTTCGTGACAAGTTTGAGCAGTTGTGCACTGCCCTCGAATGCCAGCAATTCCAGTTCCGACCTTACAGTCTCAGACGAGGGGGGGGGGGGGGGGGGGGGGGGGGGGGCGCACATCGCATTTTGTGAGACCTCGTAATATGCCTGCCACCCTTGAGAAGGGGGGATGGCAGGATTCGGCCACTGAACGTATATACATAGCAGAAGGTCAGCAGGCCCTTTCAGAGATGCAGTTCTCGCCAGCATGCCATCAGAGACTCTGTTATCTTGGCAATTTGCTGGCCTAAGATGTGGCCTAAGTTTTTTCGGCACAGCCAGAGAGGGAGTCGTGGAAGAGCGCTCTTGGGAGTTTCGTTGCCCTCTCAGTCACGCCTTGCCTCACCCAGCGCCTTTCTTCCCTTCGGGCTGCTGGCGGCCCTCATCTGGTCTCGGTCTGGGGTCCCGCGGAGGGTTTCTGGATTCAAAGGCCTCCGAGGGCCCTGCCTCGGGTTCCGGGGGGGAAATCGGCCGCTCGGGGCTGGCGGCGCTGGCGAGAGGCAAGACGGGGCAGGAAGTTCAGTGGAACTCATCTGCTCCGTTTTCGGCCCGAGAGGCCACCGCTCTGTGAAAAACCTCTGGTGAGCGTCGGCGAAAAGACCTGGGGGTTCAAGCGGGGAGAGAAACATAATATCATGTTCTTAATGTGTGTTGTTTCGTGCCACGCTCACCCCCCAGTCTGCTTGCGACGCGTGCCGCCTCGTCCGAAGCTTTGTGCTCCCACCCTCGAGCCACCCTCATTGGAGAAAGAGCGCTCTTGGGAGTTTCGTTGCCCTCTCAGTCTTGCCTTGCCTCACCCAGCGCCTTTCTTCCCTTCGGGCTGCTGGCGGCCCTCATCTGGTCTCGGTCTGGGGTCCCGTGGAGGGTTTCTGGATTCAAAGGCCTCCGAGGGCCCTGCCTCGGGTTCCGGGGGGGAAATCGGCCGCTCGGGGCTGGCGGCGCTGGCGAGAGGCAAGACGGGGCAGGAAGTTCAGTGGAACTCATCTGCTCCGTTTTCGGCCCGAGAGGCCACCGCTCTGTGAAAAACCTCTGGTGAGCGTCGGCTAAAAGACCTGGGGGGTTCAAGCGGGGAGAGAAACATAATTATTCTTCACGAGTGAGAGTTCAAGAACAACAGCAAAAACAATGGCATTCGCAACAAGAACAACAGCGACCGCAACAACATCAGCAACAGCAGCAGCAACAGCAACAACAACAGCAACAGCAACAACAGCAGCAGCAACAACAACAACAGCAACAGCAACAGCAACACAGCAATCAGCATCCGCCACACGGAACGCCACTTTGGCCACGCACCCAGGGACAGTGGATGACCGCTCGGCCCCTTCACTCTGCTGAGCCGGCCCGACCCGGGGTCGGCTCCTCTGAGTGAGGGGCCCGGGGCCGCCCTGGGCCCTCGGTGGGCCTGGCCCAGAGAGGTGCAGGCATAGTCGGCCCGTCCCCGAGGGGGCGGCCGGCTGTTCCCCCCCCCCTCGCCCCTGAGAGGCCCGGCTGCTGAGGGCGGCGGAGGAGGATCGCGTGGAGCATCTGCGGAGGCAGGCTCAGGACGGCGCCGCGCCCGGGGACCGTCAAGGCCGACCAACCCTGGGGAAAGAGAGGCGGGACTCCCGGGGACCCCGTGTTTTGAACAAGTAACAAGTCGAATGGATTGGCCTCCTCCTCCTCTTCCTCCTCCTCCTCCTCCTCCTCCTCCTCCTCCTCCTCCTCCTCCTCCTCCTCCTCCTCGTCATCCTCCCCCACAACCATCCTCGCCGTACTCCCTCCCCCAGCCCCTCTCGTCTCCACAGGCACCCACCAGACAGGGTGCCAACCTCAGGAGGTTGCGGCTCGCTGTCATTGAAAAGTAAGGAAGTGTGGGAGGCTGCTGAAAGAGGGCAGGGAAACCAGAGGAAGATGAGGGAAATTGGAAGAAAAGGAGGAGGAGGAGGACGAGGACGAGGAGGACTATGAGGACGAGGAGGGGAGGCGAATTAGAAGAAGAGAGCCACAGGATGATAGAACCCCCACCCTGCAAAGTCGAGTTCCGAATTGCTCTTGTCCGTTTCTCGGGGGGTGTTGCGGGCGCAAGTGTTGCGGGTTTGCGCCCGCTGGGTCTGGTCTTGGGTCAGTTTCATTAAAGGGTGTTTTGCTCGAAGGAGGAGGAGGAGGAGGAGGAGCAGGAGGAGGAGGAGGACGAGGAGGAGGCCGAGGAGGAGGAGGCCGAGGAGGGCAAGGAAGAAACTGGAGGCTGGAGGAGGACTAGGACGGGGACGACAGGGCTAAGAAGACGAGGAGGAGGACGACGAAGAGAAAGAAGAGGACGAAGAAGAAGAATCATCACACATCAGAAAGTAAGAATGTATCCACCACAGCGTGCTGAGCCGTCCGTGTCCACGGCAAGATGTCTCTTCCGGGAGGGGGAGGTTGCCCCGCCCCCTCGGCCCCCACCCCTCTTTTATCGGGGGTTCGAAGATGGGACCCTGGCCCTGAGGATCCAATGCGGTCAGAAAGTTTGGCTCGGCGTGTAGATCGCTGGTTCTGGCCCACCACGCTTCGGCGCGACACGCTATCCGCAGCGCGTTCCCCAAGCGTCAAGGTCCCGAGACTTTCCCAGCTTCCGCCCTGCGGAGCGGAGCGACACGCTGTCCGCTTGCAAGGCGTAACGTGTCGCAGGTGCCGCCGCCGTGACACGCCAAGGAAAAGGTCACGGCCGTAGGACTTCCAACTTCCAGGCTGAATTTGTATTGTTCAAGGCCTCCTGGCTCTAGGGCCCCCCCGCGTCCCAGGACCCCATCTTTGAGGTGCCGACGGCAGGGCTTTCGCTTCGGGGAGGTGCCGACTCCAGGAGGGAGAGGAGCCATGCGATCTCAGGAGGAGGAGGAGGAGGACGAGGAGGAGGAGGAGGAGGAGCAGGAGAACTAGCACTCCTCGGCCTGTTCCTCCTCGTCGTCCTCCTCCTCAGTCCAAAACTGAGGGGTCCCTATTGGGTGGCGCTGTTTTCCCTGACGACCGCTTCCGCCACCAGCCAGGCCCCTCGCCTTCAGGCACTCCCTTTCCCCACGCGCTCCCTCACTTCCCCTCCCCCCCCTCCTCGTGTGTCCCCATGCCCCCCATCCAGCAGCTGCCCACTGGCCTAGCCGCAGCTCTCTCGCGCTCTCTCTCTCTCTCTCTCTCTCTCTCTCTACATATGTATATATATACATATATATATGCGTGTGTGTAGATATCTTGTTTGTTTGTCTTCTCTCTTTCTCTCTGTCTCTCTCTCTCTCTCTGTCCCTCTCTCCCTCTCCCTGTCTTCTCTCTCTCTCTCTTTCTCCTCTCTCTCTCTCTCTCCCTGTCTTCTCTCTCTCCCTCTCTCTCTCTCTCCCTCTCTCCCCCTTCTTGTGTGTCTTCTTTCTCTCTCTCTCTCTCTCTCCCTCTCCCTCTCTCCCCCTTTTTGTTTGTCTTCTTTCTCTCTCTCTCTCTCTCTCCCTCGGGTAGCGATGGCAGCAGCTCCAAGTATTCGGCGGAGGCCGTCCGAGACGCGCACGCAGGAAGTCGCCGCCCGAGCACTGTGGTGCGGCGACGGATCGCAGGGCGGCCTCTGTGCGCCACGGGTGCGCGAGCTCGGACTGCGGATGCCGGGCGCGAGGCGAGGAGGGGAGCGCCCGCGCGCGGCTGCCCTGCTGCGGGGGGCTGGCCCACGGTGGCGGCATGCTCTGTGGCCATGCGATGGCAGCCGCCGCTGCCGACACTGCAGCCCAGCTCGCTCGCTGAAGTCGAGCTAATCCTACATGAGACAGCGGCTGCTAAGAATCGGCATTACCATAGGTCAGGATATTCCCCCTACCAACTTGTGTTCGGAGAGAACCCGAGATTGCCCAGAGCACTGTTGAGTGACGACGGGACTGACGACGCAGGCTTTTCTGATGTCCTTGAGGGGCCGACAGCGACGTCACCGCGGCGGCAGCCTTTGCTCGGAAGCACCATGTCCAAGAGGAGGCCAAGAATGCCCTGATGAGTGCAGAGGCGAAGTCACGTTTACCCGAGGCGCGCAAGTCTCGACACCATTCGGATCGATCAGTCACGCTTGGGCAGTGGGTGCACGTTTGGAAAAAGGCTGTCGGGATAAAGACACACGCCACGCAGATGGACCGGCGGGCCCCGGGGCCGTGGTTTTTCTCATGGGCGGGACCGCTTGGGTCGCGACGAGGACTAAACTTGGAAGTGCAGCACCGAACAAGTCAGGGTAGCGACGAGAGCCGAGGCCCTGGGGGCCGAACTACCGGGACCACCGGGACAGGCAACCTGGGGGCGTCGGCAATCTCGGCGGGGCCGGTGGAGGACCTCCAGGGGGCCTTCGCGCAGAATTACCGGTGGATCCGCGTTCGCCGCTGCCCTCGATCCCGGAAGTCTCGAAAGAGTCAGCGAGCCGATCAGTCCTGATGAGACCTCTAACAAGGAGGAGAGGTTGCACCGCCCGCCAGGCCTGGAAGGGCCACCACGGGCGTCCCAGGACCGTCAGCGAGGGGAGCCGGCCATCCACGGGTCCGTCGGACCGGCCCCCAGGGACTAGCACGCCAGTTCACGATCGCCCTGAGGCCCCAGTTCGCCAGAGGTCACCTCGAGGAGCCGCCCTTCGGGGGCGACCATCATCCACGCCGTCCTGGAGAGCCGGGCCCCCGGTGAGAGAGGCACTAACTCGCAACGCGATCCCTTGTGGCCCTCACAAAATTCCCATCGAGAGCAACAGCGGGGCGACGGTCGCCTCTCGGGCCCAGGAGTGGGATGGGGCAGGAGATCCGACCCAAGAGTTTTCCACGCCGGCTGTTGCTGCTGGTGAGGATCCGGGGGCCGATTCGCTTCCCGTTCTGATCGAGGGCCCCGGGGGCCTCTGGATCGAACTCCACGTGGCCGGGGACGTGGACGGGCAGGGCCAAGCTTTGATGCTCGAGTTGACGGCCAGGGAAGGGGGAAACGAAGATCCTCTCTTGTTCGCCGCGGCAGGCGACGGCTTGGAGACTGGTCGACGCGGCCAGGGGATCGTCTGGAAGAAGCTTTCCCCCGAGGAACGAAACGAGTTACGCCTGTCTGATGCGTCCGAATTGACATCTATGACGTCCAACAAGGCAGTGAGGGTCATCCCTCCAGAGGCTGCTGCGCTGATTCGCCGCAGAGAGCCCTCTCGCATTCTTTCGTCCCGCATGGTGAGAAGGTGGAAGCCACGAGAGGGGGTGGGGTCCGGGGTGAAAGCCAAGTCCAGGTGGCGCGCGCGGTGGCACCCAGACCCCCCTCCACGCGTACGCACCCACCCCCCAAGAAGAGGTTGTTCTGATAGCCCTCCAATTGATCGCTGGCCAGGGCTGGAAGCTTCACATGGCCGACGCCAATCACCTGCCCCAATGGCAAAATCTACGTGGAACCATGCGACGGAGCGGGCGTTCCCCGAGGATCCCCGTTGGAGCTGGTGGCTCCTGTCTATGGGCTAAACGACGCCCCCATCCGATGGCACCAGACCCTCACTTCCCATTTGAAGTCCCCGGGGGTCCGTCGGTCCCTTCTGGAACCCTGTCTCTGGGCATCTCACTATCCATCGGGGAGCCTGAAAGGACTGGTGGTCGTAGAAGTAGACGACCTCATCATCTCCTGCAGCCCCGCCTTCGAGCAGGAACTCGAAGAGAAACTGGCCCGCCGCTTCCACTTCGGGAAGTGACAGCTCGGAGAGGCTGACTACGAGGAGGATCCGTCAACAGATGGATGAACGCATTCTCGTGGACCAGGAGAAAATACATCCTCGAACAGGTCAGGCCCGCGTGAATCTCCAGGGAAAGCGCGCAGAACCCAGGGGGGCCGCTTACCGAGGGGGAGCTCCGCGACTATCGTGGTCTGATCGCCGAGATTCTCTGGGCTGCGCGGCAGTCTCGTCCCAACGTGTCTGGATCCGCCTCGATGCTTAGTGCTGAATGCCCCAATGTCACTGTTGCCTCGATTCTGATGGCGAATAAGGCCCCCCGAGATGTCCGCCGCACGGCGCGCAATTCGTTGACGATTGGCCCCTGGACCTCGGCGCGGCGACGCTGACCGCCTGCAGCGATGCAGGAGCTCGCTAGAGACGAGATCGGCACCCGCCCGAAGCCCCTCATCCGGTAACCGTCATTCTGTGAGCGTGTTTGGGGGTACTCTTGTGGCGGGTCCGGGGGAGAAGCCCGTTCCGCGCGGGCGCAGTGCCCGTTCTGTGCTTGTTATAACTTCAGACCTCAAGGGGCACTAAGAAGTAGGGGGTGCTGTCTTTTGAATTCTAGTCACCCGGTCCCTTGAGGTCCCATCTGGGCTCTTGACATTGCGTGCGGGGTTGCGTCGCTATCTCGTTTGGCTCAAGTCTTTTATTAAACCCCAGGAGGAGGGGGGGGGGTGCGCGCTTTCTCTAGTATCTTCCCGTTCCCCATTAAGCCCCCGCGCGATCCCAACGCCCGCTCATGCCGGGGCCAGAGGTGGAGATCCACGGGGGGCAGGGAACGCGCGAGGTCTGTGCCGTTGCGCGGGGGCGCCAAGCAGACGCACCCACTGGGGCCATGGGTGGAGCTCCCTGGAGGTCAGGAAACGCGCGAGGGGTTTGCCGAAATGCGCGCGGGGACGCCATGCGGACGCACACATTGGGGCCACGGGTGATGCTCCTCCCTGCGGGGCAGGGAACACGCGAGGGGTTTGCCAACACGAGCGCGGGGACGCCATGCGGACGCACCCACTGGGGCCATGGGTGGAGCTTCCTGTGGGGCAGGAGACGTGTGAGGGGGTCGCCGGAATATGCGCGTAGACGCCATGCGGACGCACCCACTGGGGCCATAAGTGGAACTCACCGGGGGTCAGGACACGTGTGAGGGGTACGCCGACGTTGGCACTGGCACCCCGTGCTGATGTACCCGCTGGGGCCATGGGTGGAGCCCCCTGGAGGTCAGGAGACGTGCGATGGGGCTCGCCGGAATGAATGCGTAGACGCCATGCGGATTCACCTTTTGCGGGCCCCCAGGTGGAGCTCCATGAGGGGCAGGGCACGCACAAAGGGTGTGCCGAAATGGGCGCGGGGGCGCCATGCGGACGCACCCACTGGAACCATAGGTGGAGCTAGCTCCCTCGGGGGCAGGAAACGTATAACGTGTGTGCCGTCATGGGCGCGGGGACGCCATGCGGACGCACCCACTGGGGCCATAGTTGGAGCTCCATGGGGGGCGCGAAACGTGTGCGGGGCATGCCGAAATTTGCGCGTGAACGCCATGTGGACGCGCCCAGTGGGGCGCTGGGTGGAGCTCCCTGGGGGCAGGAGACGTGCGGGGGGTGTGCCGACAGTAAAGCGGGGCACCATACGAACGCATCGACGGGGGCCACGGATGATGCTCCCTGTGGGACCGGAAACGTGTGAGAGGCGTGACGACATGTGTGCGGGAGCCACGTGGACGCACCAATTGGGGCCCCCAGGTGGAGCCCCCCTGGGGGCTGGAAACGTGTGAGGGGCTTGAACGCGGGGACGTCATGCGAACGCACCCACTGGGGCCAGAGGTGGAGTTTCTTGGGGGGCCAGAAACGTGTGCGGGGCATGCCGAAATTAGCGCGTGGACGCCACGTGGACGCACCCATTAGGGCTATGGGTGGAGTTCCCTGGGGGGCTGGAAACGTGTGCGGGGTGTGCCGAAACAGGCGAGGGGCACCATACAGACGCATCCACTAGGGCCATGGGTGAAGCTCTCTGCGTGGCCGGACACATGTGAGGGGTGTGCCGAAATGGGGGCGGGGACGCCGTGCGCACGCACCCATTGGGGCCCCATGTGGAGCTCTCTGGGGGGCACGAAACATGTGAGGGGTAAGGAGGAGGAGGGGGAGGAGGAGGAGGAGGAGGACGAGGACGAGGACGAGGAGGAGCGGGGGAGTCAGGACGGAGGCGGCGCGCGGCGTTGTGGGGTCAAAGCGAGGACCCAACACACAAGAGGGTTGGGACAAATGTTGGCATCACCTCCTGCGTGTGGCGTGCACAGCGAGGCACGAGCGCCCGTGCCCCGGTTCGCGACGGCGCGTTCGTATGAGAACCCATGCTCGACATGCGACATTGGACACGGGGCGCGTGACATGCGCGCGAGGGTTGTTTTTGAGGGAGGAGCAGGGGGAAGGGGATGAAGAGGAGCCAGAGGAGGACGCAGGACGAGAAGGCGGAGGAGGACGAGGACGGCGAGGACAACGAGGGTGCGAGGCAAACGAGGGTCAGGTCACCGCCCCCAGACGTCGTTTTTCCTTTCCTTCAGGTGCTGTTGCTCCTCCTCCTCCTCCTCCTCGTCCTCCGCCTCGCCCTCCTCCCCCTCCCTCTTCACCTCCCTCTTCCCCCCTCTACCCCCGTCATCCTCCCCCACCCGCCTCCCTCTCCACCTCCTCCTCCTCCTCCTCCTCCTCCTCCTCCTCCTCCTCCTCCTCCTCCTCCTCCTCCTCTTCCTCCCCCTCCTCCTCCTCCTCCTCCTCCTCCTCCTCCTCCTCCTCCTCCTCTGGATCCACTTCCTCAGAATTATTATACATTTCCTCCCAACGTCCTCTTGCCCGTGTCTTCGTCATCCACCTCGAGCTCGCCCTCGTTTGGCTCCTTCTCACCGTGGGCAGGAGCTGGAGGAGGACGGAGGGCCAAGAAGGAGGAGGACGACGACGAGGACACGGGCGCAAGGTCCAAGAAGGGGAGCAAGGAGCAGCGATCAGCAGCAGCAGAGGCAGGAGTCGACAGTGGTCAAGGCGTTGAGAGCAGGACAGCCTGGGGCCCACAGGGGGGGGGCTGGTTCGAGGGCCGTGCCTCAGGTCCAGGTCGGGAAACCTGCTCGTGGCCGAGGCTCGCCGCGGCCGGAAACGCGCCCTTTCCTTCGCTGTTCCGCGTGCTTCGCAGCAGCACGATCGCTGCACATGCCGACGGAGGCGGACGAACAGGACGAGGACCAACATGACGAGGGTGGCGCTGGTTCTTCTGTGAGAACAGAGGGCGCGCTCGATCTGTCCTCCAGCATTCTCCTCCTTCCAGGTAGCAGACATCGCAACGGCGCCCCACCCAACCGCCGCTGCCACCTTGCACAGTGCTGAGTGCGAGCCGATGCCTGATACATCACTACACGTGCTGTCGTGCGGATGTTTGTGTGCGATTGCGTCCAACAGCTTGTGGTGCACAAGCCCCATGTGGAGTACCCGGGTATGCGGTAAAGACAGGCCTGTTGATGGTCTGTATTTTTTTGACGTGGATGCAATCAATGTGGTTCTCATTCATGTTGGAGGGAGGTGTACACGAGGTTGCGCGCCTGTGTGTATGCATACGCATGTGTGTGACCCCGAGCACGCGGTGGACATAGGCACCGATGTGTGCACTATCCCCGTGGTGCACCCAGGCCTGCATGCCCGTGGTGCGCACAAGAGTGCGATTGTGCGTGCAACTGTGATGCGCACTCGCTTGCGCCTGCAGTGTGCACGGGCCCGCGTGTGCGCACATGGGCTGAAGGCGCGCACTGGCCTGGACTTACTCTTAGGCGTTGAGGTGCGCACGGGCCCCGTGGCCGTCCACGAGCGCGCCGCGCACTGCCACACCGCGCCCGCTTACCGCCGCCGTCGTGTCCGCCGCCGCCGTCGTGCCCGCCGCCGCCGTCCCCCGGCCCTGACGGGCCAGGACGACCTCGCTCTCGAAGCAGTCGTGGACGGCGACGGCCAGACGCTGCTCCACGTCGCGGCCTTGCGAGGGTCCCGCGCCCCAGCGCCCGCATCGCGCACACCCCGGGCGGAGGAGGAGAGGGCGGAGCTCGGCGGGAAAGGCCATAGTTCATCACCAATGGCACGCAGGAGCAACACCTTGGCGGTCAACGTGTTCGTCCTTCGTTTCTGCTCGAGGGCCTGGTGTCTCCTCGACAGCAGCATGCTGGTGGCTCCCCCACGGCGGCGTGTCCTTGATCCTGCTCTTGTCCGCCCCCCCCCCCAGGAGGAAGAACATCGGCTACGCGCAAGAGCACCCCGTCGTCGCAGTGGCGTTTGCTGCGGGCCCTCAGAGGGGGTCCCTTGGCACTCACCGACGCGCTCGGATTTGGCTCCCCCGCGGCCCCATGAAGCTGCGCACCGCAGGGCACTCCTGACCAGGGCCACTCGTGCGCGCAGCCGAGATGCAGGACCGCTGACTAGATTGCCAGATCCATGATCGGGGCGCCTTTCGACGGTCCTCCTGCACTGCACTACGAATTACGATCTGCCAGTCGGGGACGCCCTCTGCATGGGGAGGGCGGCTCGTAGCCTGAGGACGCAAGAGAGGGAGGAGGATGAGGAGGAGGAGGAGGAGGAGGAGGAGGACTTTTTCATTGTATGCTGGTACAGATGGCATTGCAGGTGAATGCGTGGACGGCTGGAGGGTGAAGGGTGCCAAGCACCGAAGTTAAAAAGTGCGCTGACAGACACGAACATCAGCACAGAAAACTACAAGGCCAGAGGAGGTTGGATCACCCTGGGGATGGGAACCAACACAAAGTCCTCTGGGCAGGTGGCCCTGCCTGCTCCCAGAGACCCCGAGGGGGGTGGAAGCAAGTGGTGCGGCCTCAGCGCGCTAAAGCTGAACGACGGGCTCCTGCCCAGAATCCCACACACGAGAGCTCTGCTGCGGGGGCAATCCTTTGCGAACTCGCTGCAAAGCCTGCAGCTGTTTAGGGGAAATACGGTGCGACCCGTCCAGGGCCACAACGCAACCAGCTAATAGGTTGACCGGTCGCTGCGTGGCCCACGCACCACACAAGCCACAAAATGCAGATTTGCCTTTTAGGGCACAGCTCATGTGAAGAAGACAACTCCTGCCCTGCAATGAAAGCAGGGTGGGCTACGAGCACAGGCGGATCTTCCATGCCAAGCCTGCTACAAAGGGCACCGTCGATCGGGGCCAGGGGCCCTGGCGCAGACCCCAGACGGGGGAGCGGGACAGGGGCCCTCGGAGCCAGGGCCGCGCAGGCCGAAAGGACACGGCTCCGAACCCCCCGAGTTTTTTCTTCGGCATGGAGTCCGCATTCAGAGCAGCGCCAAAGACCAGGCGCGTGCAGTTCAAACTGGTGCTGCGATCTGCTCACAAAGGCTACTCGCTTCTGTCGGAGGGCCAGCAGCCTCGGAACCTGTTCTTTCACGACCACGCGCTCCTTGTTCTTAGGCTTACTCGCTACCTCCAAGGTGAGAGTGGCAATCCGGAGCAAGACCTATTTGGCCTTCAGCTCAAGCGCCAACAAAGTTTGGCACTGGTGCGCGGGAACCTGATGCGCATCTGCTTTACTGGCGGCGATCTCGTCCGCAACGCGAGTAGTTCTCCAAAACCGCTCAAACTTGTCCACATTCTCGGCTAAATGTGACGGCGCATGAACTAGCTCAAGGGGGGCAAACCTCTTATTGGCCAACACCCAGAATTCCCACCACAGGTCAGCATTGGCAAGGTGTAGGCAGTGATTCCTGTCTTTGTTAAAGGCCTTGACATGATTTATACGGTCACTAGCAATCGCGAGCGATTCAGACCACTTGACATGGCGTACAATCTCCACCAGAGCAGTGAGCTCTGCTCTGGGAACACTCTGGCGGGAGCTGTCACAGACACCTGTAGCTCCATGGTTCCAGGAAGGCACTCCGTCCTCATCAACCTCCAGGCGAGCGAAAGCAAACGAGACTCTACGGAGAGGCGGGTGCTGCGACCACTGTCCGCCTGCACCATCAGAGCCATAGGTTCCGCCAGGGAATGGGGTCGAGGGCTCGCACCCGTGGTACTCCAAGAGGCGAGAGGAAGGAGGGGAAGGAAGACCCAGCCAATCACTAGGAATGAGCCCTCTTCCCCAGAAAATTGGTGCAACATCGAATTCGGCAAGGGCCTCATGCCGCAGATGCTCAGTGTCATTCACCCGGGCGCTGGCACTACTGGCGTTACACATGCATTCCCAAGCTTTGTGTTTAGGGCTCTCGTCGGAACGAAAGCATCTCTGGCAAACGCTACCGGGAACAATGCCACACTCGAATTTGCGCAGTTCTGTCCACATGCCTCTGCCCGCAATGGTTCAAACCACAGCTGCCTTGCCTGCCTCACCGTCTTTCGTGAGTTTCCGAGCAAGCTCTCCTACGTGCTGTCATGAGACTTCTCGCTCAGCCCCTTTCCCGAGATAAAACTCAGAGGCTTCAAGCCACTGCATGGTCTCAATGCTGGCGCTTAAATCATCTAATAACGGAGTGGCAGGGAAAGATCCATTTTCCACCAAAGCCCAGGCATCTCCCGCGGGACTGATAAATTCGCGAGCGCTGGGGCAAGACCACCCTGAGTGCAACAAACTCGCTTGCAAGGCTGAAAGTGGGCCCCTCACCCAATTCCAGCCTTGATTCGCTCTGTCCAGAGAGATCTGCCATGCAGCTCCATGGCGAGAGAAGAGATTCGGGCGCGTTGCGAGCCGGCCCAACCAAGTCGCTACGAGGCGACGAATGTGGACCTGGACAGCGTCGCGGCCCGCCCCGAAAGATTGCCTAATAGCAGTGGTCGCACACGTGCCTGGGCCACTCACAAGACTACTGGCATGCGCACTACGGCACAGCAATCGGAGACTGGAAGGGCTGATCCCGTGCACTTCAGCAGCCCACATCGCTTTGGGGTAAGCATTAGTAAAATGCAGTTTCGGCGAACGCTTGTCAGTACGAGTGAAACGCTTTATTCTGCCAGCTGCGCGGGCACCCTTGCGAAACCTATCCTGCTGGACCTTGGTCGCACGACGATTCAGGAAGGTTGTGTCATGACCTAGATCCCTCGCGTGCAAAACTGCCCCGACGCCGACGCCTGCCATTGCAGCGCCTGCCGCTGCATGAAAAAGCTGATTCCGCAGCGAAGCATTCGAGGCCAGAAAAACACACTTTGGAAGTGAGAGCTTGCACTTGGCCTTCAGGAGACCCCTCACCAACGCGCGAACAACAACAGGGAAAATGCCGAGGATCGTCTGCTCAGTTCCGAAAATGCGAAAGGCGATGTCGTCAACCCACTGCCTTAAATGAAGGGCTGCGCTGGCCTTAAAAGTGGCATCGCAAGTACTGTAAAGACATGCGCGCGAGAAAGAGAGAGAGAGAGAGAGAGAGAGAGAAAGAGAAACAGCTTGTCCGCAGCCCGGCAACACACCTCCCGACGGGAGGATACCTTTGTGAACAGCCCGGTCCAGCGTGAGAAGCCTAGGCCCTAGGTACGTTTCCACAGCTAGCGCCAAGAGCCGCAGTGAATATCCTAAATCCATGGACACTTCGGCCAAAGCTGCCATCTCGAGTTGGTCGTAAAATTTAGTGAGGTCAAGAAGACCCCCTCCGACCATGAACCCTCGAAGGATGGCCAATTCGCTTTCCAACTCATCCAACCACCCCGCCTCATCCGTCCCGCCGCCCACGGATTTCTCCTGGTTCCCATGATGGGAAGAATCCCACGTAGAAATGTACGGGTGCCTTATGCGCAACAAGACGACATAAGCAAAGCCCATAAGGGGCGATGGGGCGGGATCCTCCGTCGGGCTTGCCCAGGAGCGCAGTGAGACAAGAGGCTTGGGACAGAGGCAGGGTGGCCAGGCGCTCGACATCAGCGAGCAGCGCAACGAGCCGCACCTTGGCTTCTCTGCACTGGCCGCCTCGATCAGCCGAGGGGGGTAATTATCGAGTCCGCGGCCGCGCCCTCGGCCGCCAGGCATCGATGCCAATGCCGCGCCGGGCATGTCAGGCGTGACAGGGAGCCAGAGGCGGACGCTCACGGGCCTACAGTCGGGGCCCTGAAGAAGGAACCCTTTTGGTTGGGGAGGGGCTCCGCGTTCCTTAAGTGTTTCACAGCTTGCCTCAGGTTTTCCTTATGTTTTCGATCGGAAAACGAGGTTTAACTTATGGAAAAAAAGGGGCATCGTTCCTTATTTAGGGTTCCTTAGGTCAACGCCCCGACTGTAACGCCCTCGACTCCGCAAGACACTTGCGAGCAGAGTCGGCGGAGTGGTGCTGCCAGTATCCCGACCCACCCTCGAGCCTGAGACTCCAGGCGTCCAGGGGCACTGCCAGCAACAGTATCGCCATCCTGGGTGTACTTGACTCGGTGGCTGCGGTCTGGCTTCAAAGAACGGTGAGCTCCTCTGGGCGATCCCTCAAGAGCCTCTTGGAGCCACTTCCGCCAGTACGCTTTTGACGAAGCAGGCTCGCTGAGCAAATTTCTGACCTAAGCCATCAGCTAACGAAATCATCTCTTGCCAGCCATCCTAGGAAAAGTGGGGCAGCTTCTGGTGCCGCCCTCGCCACAAAAACAAATCGTCGAGCTCGGCCTGATCCTGATCGTCGTGAGGAGGAGGAAGCTCAAGGAGGGAGAGCTTGCGGATCAGGCCGCTGAAGTGCTCAATTGACCTCTGTCTGGGCTGCGGGACGGCCGCATCCCCAAGCGCTGGGTCGACGTCACATAGCTTGAGAGCGGTGCCAAGTTGAACTGCAAGCGCTTGCCAAAAACGCGCTTGCCGATGACTAAACTGGGGGCATCCACGTCCCGGGGAAGGAGTGGAACTTCAACTGAATGGGGAAGCTGTCCTCGACGCACATGCCTACATGTGCTGCGCGTTTCTACGCCTTGCCTGTGGCAAGCTTCCAGCTCGACTGCCAAAATCCACTCGCTGAAACGGGCATTCAAGGCAATGGATGTGCCCAAGTCAGCATGGCCCAGCTCATGTTGAACCTGTACACGCGTATTG